TATATATATATATATATATATAAGCTCAGATTTTCAAGAATATCTGTCAGATTTTTTTTATTTATTTATAAAAAATTAAAAATGAAAGTTTACCAGTTAAATTAAGGGTAACTGTTTATATTCATTGAACTTTGAAAGCATAAAAACTGAAAATTATTCTTTTTAAAATGGTTAAATGAATGAAAATTGGATTTCTTTTGCTAATTACCCTCAGAAATCGGTTCATTCGATGTGAAGACTTTATGTTTTGTTGCACTTCTTGAGAGTTTTTTTTCCTTTTTTTAAAAGTAGAATTAATTTTCTTAAAGACTGAAAACCGTTGCGGTTCGCAACAAAACAGCAAGAAAGGCAAAAAAATCGTATTTAATGAGCTGAAATTTTACGTTTTTTTTTACTCCAGATGTGTTTAAAAAACAAACAAGAGCAACTTTGGTGTTCAAGCGATTAACGTCTGATGGGCTGGTTTAGTTTCTGACCCACAATCGTCTGCGTGAAGATCAAATTTATCAAGAGGAAGGTTCGAAGCTCTAAACTTGTCATCAATTATCATTTTTTAAATCTCAAAAATTCACCGAAATGAACTGTGGTTAAATTTTAGACGAGACAAAACACAAAGATAATCTTCGGAGATGCTCATGTCTAAATTTGATGTTTTAAAATTGGTAACCAAATATTAAGATTTAAAGTTTCATCCTATCCGTTGTCACATATTTGCTCACATCAAATTTAGGCGTTCTGTTGCAAACGATATAAACAAAACAAAACATATTTTCAACCGCACGGATCTGACGGATCATTTCTCTAATTAATTTTCTGCTGGAGACAACGAATATTTTCATTTAGAATAAAATTAAAAAACAGATTTAACTTGAAGGTTTACGATTACAGAAAAAAAAAGGATTTGTCTTTGCTGTCAGGAGGGACTTTACGCAACAAACAGATCTTTTCAGAACATTTGAAGTCCCGTGGAAAGGTAAAAAACAAAGAGTATCTAACCTGTTGTAGATGGGTCCAGTTTGATGAAGCACTTTAATTTGTTTTACAGCTCACGGTAGTTAAACAAATGAAATGTGTATTCATCAGATGCCAACTTGCTCCTCAAAGCTTCCTTCTCCGTTAAACAACCTCGACCAAATTATCGTGGTTTACTTAAATTAAGCTCTCACCTAAACTATAGAATTTTTCACACTGAAGCTGCAACATCCCGTTTGACCGTGGCAACATCCAGATTTGCTTTTAGCTCGTCAGTTTGATCAAAATTAAACTTTGTTTCCCAAGCTGAGGTCATTCAAAGAGCCATCTGCAACAGGTAAGACACTATCTGATCATAGCTCGTTCACAGAACCTCACTTTAAAGCAGGGTTATTCAACTAAATTGCTCAGGAGGCCACAGTTACTGAAAGCCAAGCGCTCAGGGGCCGGACATCCAGCAGTTATTCTCGTTAAGTAAGTTTGTTTTATGATTTAAAACAGTTTTATTTCAAAATGAACCCACTGGTGGGCCGAAGTGAGCATGCCCGTGGTCCTGATTTGGCCCCCGGGCCACCAGTTGAATAGTCCTGCTTTAAAGCATTTGAACTTTTCTTTCAAGGCAAACAACGAGAAAAACAATCTAGAAAAGTAGCTGAACCTCAGCAAAGTTTCTGTGCCCTAAATTTGACAAATTGACTTTTTTTTCTTCAAAACAAAAGATTCAGTAGTTTGATTTAGGAAGATGTACGGACGCAGCTTGAGGACATGGAGGTAGTTGGAGTGAGGACAGAGATGGGGGAGGATGACTCGTTGACAGAACAGACAAAAGAAGAAGCACAGTTTGATTTTGGCTGTTTGTTTCTCAGACAGCCGGTGAGAAAAAAGCTCGATTTGTTGACAATCTTTGCTTTGAATGAGCAAAAATTCAGCTTGGCACCAAACAAACACACTGTGGGAGGATCATCACAGCTTGAGCCAAAAAAAGAAAACAACCTCTTAATTCCATGTACTAAAACACACTTCGTCTACATTATAAAAAAAAAAAATTAAAAAAAGAAATCCTTCATTGAAGTTCATCTTCTCAGTCCGGCTGCTTTCAGCGACACTCGAACCTCTGTTCCTTCGACGCAGCTGCGAAGAACAAAGGCAGTAAATGGGAATGTGGCGCCCTCATGTTCAAACCGGCTCCTCAAACGCATCTTTACATTCTTTTGCGAGGAACATGTTGACTTTTCTGTGACAATCACAGCCTGATTTGTTGTTTAAAGGGTGTACGTTCATTAAAACCTTTTTTTTTTTTTTTAAACGAATTTACTGTAATACTAGTTCAGTGGTCTCCAACCCCAGTGCCACGTGGGTCCATTGGTACCGGCTTGCACAGAAGGGGGAAAAAAAAAACAGAAAAAAATGAACTACTAACTAAACAACTAGTAGATGAGAAATGATCCTGCACTTACTACACCTATAAATCACATATAAAGTGTCAAGCGCCCCCATATTTTAACTCAGCACCCCTGAAATATAAAGAAACCAGGATTAGGATTGTGTAATGAAACTCAGTTCCCAACTTTAGATTCGTCAAAATATGGAACAAATATTGAATAAATGACGATAGTCTTAAAATGGGCCAGTAAAATCTATGATATATATATATATATATATATATATATATATATATTTGCAGTAGTCGGATCCTCGACCCACCTGTCCATGAACATATTGTCTGACATTAAACCGGTCCGTGGAGCAAAAAAGGTTGGGGACCACTGCTGTAGCTCATCTGCATTAAACACACATAGAAACAAATAAAGTTATCGAAGTCCACGTTTAGCTGTAATGAAGTCACCTCCATATGTCAAAGTTTACAAACTGTATCATCCTTAATAAATACTGTTGAGATAAATTACATGGTATATACTGTAGCTTTAATATATTACGATCTACATGTTAGACGTTTTATGAATCCGTTGTTGAGAATAGAAAGTAAGGATGGAGCCTTTCTTGGTTTTAGGCAACAACCGTGTCAAAAAGTTTTACAGTGTAACCAAAAGGCCTTTTGTGCAAAACGTGAGGCCAAAAGGAGAAACGAGGAGTTCTTGTCCATTTATTGAAAAACGTCTGTTAGGCAGAAAGGTTTGGGTTGATCCGACTGGGTCACAGTCCACATGTTGCAAACTGCAGTCAAACCCTGACTGAGCAGGAAAAGCTGCACCGAGCTGTCCTCGTGGTCCTGAAGGGAGCGTGTCCTTTAGGGTTGGGGAGATTCCCCCCGGCGTCCATACTGCAGGTCTTTGGATGGTGGAAGGATGGGCTGTGTGAGGAAAGAGCGACGACGTCAGGCGAAGGGGCTGTCTGACTTCAAGATGGAGGCGTCCACGTCGTGGCAGCTCTTTCCGTTCATGTGTTCCGAGTGGCCGTCGATGGTGTAGCAGCCCTGCACCTCGGTGAAGGAGGACGCCGTGTAGGAGGCCGAGCGCATGGCGTCCGAATGGTTCCCTATGCTGTTGCCGAACTGGAGGTTATACTGGTTCCAGTGCCGCCTCAAAACCGCCTGGACCTAACCAGAGAAAACACAATGGAGCTGAGATTTCCAGGAAAAGTTTTTTAATAGTTTCATAAGCGAAAACATTTGAGTAACTGATAACAGTGTGTCTGTGTAGTGTATACAGTGTATCTTCTGGCTAATTGCTTGATCTGTTGTGTTTCACTGCTGTCGAGATGAATTATAGGTAGAGACAGGAAGTTAAAAACAAGCCCCGCCCCCCAAGTGGCTGGCTCTAGTAGAAGCTTTAAGCCAACTTATCCATGTAAAGGAGCGGGATGATTTTTTTTATGTTGATTTTTGTTGATTCACAGATCTTACCTTGCTGTATATTCATTTATTTATGTTATCTGAAGCCTAAAAAGTGTGACGTCAGTGAGCATAGGGTTGTGGAGGCGGGACTTTTGTTGACGGTACAGCCCCACATTTGGCGTTACACTAGTCCCTCGGTACTTCACGTTTCCACTTTTGCGGACTCACTGTTCCGCGGGTTTTCAATGTAAGATTGTACACGACATACGATTGACTGATTGATAGAAGGCGACCAACCAGAGCACTGTGCTCTGTAGCCCGGGCGCTGATTGGCTCAGTAACCATAGCGTCAGTCTGTATGCTCTCTTTCGCTGTGCTCTTTTAGAGCGTTTAGAGCTTTGAACATTGTTAAGAACATTGCAAGTGTGGGAAGGGTTTATTAACACCCCTACTTCGCAGAGTTTCACCTATTGCAGAGGTGTCTGGAACGTAACCCCCGCGATCAGTGAGGAACTACTGTATTGTATTGTAAGATCCAGCCCAGTCCTGGTAGGCCCGTGTAGGTCTTCCCTAGCTCTGCACAGCCTTGGCTGTTTTTGCAAGAACCAACAATTGAAAGCATGGGTGTCATGCTATCGTTCATCCTACTTTCTCTCATCTAAACCTCGTTAAAACAGGCAGAGAAGCTGTGCGCTGCTAGAAGAAACACAGCAGAAAGACACATGAGAGGGCACGAGGCCATACTGCTGATTGTGCCAAAGGCAGGAGTGCAAGACAATGTTAGAATGTAAGCTAATGCTAGCAGATGTTAGCTTGTTTGCACTCGTTTGAAGTTGAGCGTACAACTGGGACAGTGACCCAATCAGTGTCCTGCGGACGTCAAATCTTCGGCACAAGTCAGTTCGCATCTCTGGGTTCCAAAAATCAAGCTGGAGCGCAGGGGAGACCGCTAAATGTAAAGACGTAGAACTTGGACAGGGCCGACCCAGGCCAGGCGCAGCCTAAAGGGAGCATAAACTCTGGTTCCTAAAATACAACTTGGCAGCTCCCGAAATAACAAACATTTAGACTTCAATTTTGGACAATGGAAGTTGATGGTTTGTCCATCTGTATCTATGTTGACATTTCCCTTCAACAGTTCTTCTGTATAATCTGATTTATACGGATATCCTCTTACACTCCTCAGCCAGAGTCTCTTCGAAAAGTGAAGATAACAACCAGAGGATGTTTTCTATCTGAGCTACTCTAAAGGGGAAGTGTGCAGTCTGTAAGTGTGCATGCAGGCCTTCAAAATAAAGTCAAAGGGTATGACCCCAACTTACTTCTCCATTAAAAAAGCAGAAGATGGTCGCCACCAGCAGACCCTGGAATGAAAGACATTTAAATTACAGCTTTGACAGCATGTTGCTGGAAGACATCTACCCTCTAAAAGCAGCAAAATGGAGAAAAGAGATGAAGCGAATGTATTTTAAGAGCTAATTCAGCCAATTGCTCAATTTATTTTTCCAGCTCTGGCCAAGCTGGGAGAGCTCAGGATGATCAGATAACACCTCGTCAACATCCAACTGATTTCGGCCCCCTTCAGCTCCGATAATTCATGTCTTCCTTCCTGCTGCTCCTCACTGGGCTACAACATAAACAACTTCACCTCCGGGGCTTTGAAGAATGTTCGATTTTTGACCAAACGAAATAGAGATAATAGAGCGGGGCGTCCAGGAAACGGCTCATTTACGGAGAAATACGGGAACGCAGCAGTAGAGAAAACAGAAAGTAACCTTAAAATAGCTAAATGCTATCCGGACACGTATAGAAGTACTTTGTACACCAGAGTCATCACTCACTTGGTAATGCATCAGTATATGCATGATGTAGTCGTAGATTTCAGAAGAGACTCGTCCTTCAGGCTTGTAGGGAAGCAGGACGTACTGGATTCCCAACAGCGGCACCAGGATGAGAGTGGCTCGCACGGCCTTCATGTAAAGACTCGACTCGGCTTGATGGGTCACCTTGAGCTTGGTGATGAGGACTCGCACGATGTTCAGCAGAAAGAACAGGTTCACCTAAAGAAAAAGGAAAACAGAATCAGCTTCTAATTGTTGCATTCATACATAAATTTGTAAAGAAAAGGACGAGAGCATTAAAGTTTGCACCGTGTTTCCGCCTCATGCACTCAAGTGAACATTGATCTTTATTTGCACATACTATCCATTTCAAACCCCCAAGTGATGCTTTTACGTCAAAAGATTTACTGTAGTCAAACGCTTTTTATCTGACCTGATCTTTTTCTGTTTGTTCTCGGGTGAAATGCAGTTTTTTTCTTTTACTCTTTCCAGACAGAAACGTTCTCTGCCACACCTCCCATCAAGGTCAAAAGTTGTGGATGAGTCCAACAGCAGCTGTAAAAGTTCCACGAAAGATTTTCTTTGGCTCCAGATGTTTCTCCCCACTGGCTAAGATTTATGGATGTGACATTTTTGTAGATAAACACTTCAACAAGGAGTTTTTACAAAGTGGTTGTGGTTCTTTTTGACTTCTTGCCAAACTCTAAAAGACTGTCAAAACCTTCTGGTGGACCGACACCAAAACGCTTCACAACAAGAACGACAGTGAACGCCACTCAGGACGGTGTGAGGAAGCGCTGGGATGTGGATCTGCAGGACACTTTGGTCCAGATTTCTTTCAGCGTCTGAACATGAACCTGAGACACATTGAAGACTTGACGTGACTCCACACAAGCAGCAGAGGTTTTTGTAAAACCTCATGTGAAAATCATGTGCGGCTGGTAGGCGTTTAATACAATTACACTGGAATCCGTGGGAATAGTCTGAAGATGTTTCATTTTCAAGCTAAAGTTTTAACTAATTGTCAAAAATCCCAAACAACAGCAATATTAATTATGATTATATTGATTTGTGGATTAATGGGACATTTTATCAGGTGGTCTTGTTCTAGCTCTGGCTACAGAACGAGCTCTTTCTTGGTTTCGATGACGGAACGTTATATAATTGGAATAAACAAAACAGTGGAACAAATTAACATTTTTTTCTTATAGCCCACACTATTAAAAGACCATTAAAGTTGTTAAAGGAGATGCTACTTGACATCACGTGCGCCGCAGTATGGCAGCACTGACGGGAGCTCCGATTCGACTCGCTCTTTTTTTTTTTTTGTTCCTGTTGTTTTTGTTTTAACTTTTTTTGCGCCTACACTGTACACCCACGCTACGGGCATGACTGCGAAGCACTTTTGGAGTTTTGTGTGTCGCTGCCTTGCCATCGTGGTTTAGTTCCCGGCCCCCATCCAGCCTCAGGTTCTGGCCTGTCATGGTGGCCATCGCCATGATCTGCCTGCACGGACCAAACTCTATAGAACAGTTTGGTTCCGCAGGAAAACTTTGGATGTTCTGTGTCTGCCAGACGCGGTTCTGGAGGGCAGTCATCGTCCATTGCCACTGTCGTTATTATTATTATGCTGCTAACTATGGGTGCACCGATAAATCAACCGGCCAATTTATCGGCCCCGATTTCCTTAATTTTGGGAAATCGGAAATTGTCCGATACTTGCACGAGGAACTGATTTTACAGATTTTTTTAGTTTTAACAATTGTCTGAGCACTACCTCATGGCCAGTTAAAACAAGTTTGTATTTTTTATAGGATATTGTTCAAGGGTTTGTTTATCAACAAAATAAGATTGAAAATTGAAGGTGCGTTGTGACCTTATAACACCTGACAGTGTCGATTATAAAACAAAATCAGTATCGGCTAAAATCGGAATCGGCAGCTCAGACTTTTTAGAAATTGGTGATTGGCCAGAAAACTGCAATCGGTGCCCCCCTACTGCTAATGGGACCTGCTGCTAACAAGACCACGCCGCTAACCGAACCACACTGCTAACAGTACCATAGTGTTAACAGTACCATGTTATTAACAGGACCATGTTACTAAGAGAACCTCAATGCTAACAGAACCACACTGCTAATAGGACCATGTTGCTGTACATGTATTTCTTTTTCATTTTTGGCGCCTTGGTTTTGTATTTTTGTTGCTTTGGTATTTCTTCTTGGGTTTTTTTGGCGAGCCGAGATGTTCTTCTCGTCCTGAGCATTTCATTGCATTGCTGACCTTGTGTTGACCTGCATATGACAATAAACCTAAACCTACTTGGCTGCGTTGTCCGCTGTAACATCCTCTTTTATGATGCGCAAAGACTAAGTCTCGGGTCCTGTAACCACTTCTTTAGAATGAACGGCTTCAACTACGACATCCTGCGTTGTTGTTGCTGTTGTTAAAAGTGACAAATAAATAATGTGTTGTGCAAAAGCTAATTCATAGGTCTTTCTACACATTCCATGGTGGAACCAACAGGTTCTATAACCTCATTATCCTTGGGGCCGCTTCACTCTTGGCCTGAGCAGTTTGGCCACAACTGGACGACAGTGAGGACAGAGCTGAACGAACTGTGGACAGCTTCAGATCTGATCCCTCTGACCACAACCAGAGGTGGTCCGAGACAAGCCGAGACCTTTGAGTCCACATTTGTTGTCCTGTGATGTTTATGTGACTGTGGTTTTACAGAAACATGTCCTGTTTGTTCAGCCCACCGTGTGATGTGGCTGTGTGTTTATTGGCACGTAAAGCGGGTAATTGAGTCCACTTGTGTCCAGATCAGCCAGGACTCTTGTTAGTGCATGGTCAAAGAGACCACAGTTGGCCGCTTTTTCTAACATCTGATTCTAATTATGTGGATTTAAAGAAATCCCATGTTTACTTAAATATCAAATAAGTTTAATGAAGTTATTAGTTTCTACGGCTCTCCGCTCTTGCCATGTGATACGCTTCAGAAAATGTGTGTTTGTTGCCGAAACACAAACAAACCACCACAAAAGTTTATCTTGGAGTCAAGTTTTTGCAGAATATAGGGACCAATTTCCCCTCGTTGCGCTGATTAGGTGAATTCCAAGCAAACAAAACTGGCCTGGGGACCTCTGAGTGGATCCACCGAGGACCAGATGAATTAATTTCACAAAACAAACACAATTAAACCCCCTCTGGACCACCCCCCTCAGCGCTCACTCAGAAGAGGCCAGACGCAGATTATTCTTCTCGTTGTGCAATAAAAACAAGAGACGTGAAACAAATCGGTTGTTCAAGTTGAGTAAACTCAGGAAAAGAAAGAGTCTCACCAACAGAGCAGCACATATGGGACCATGGATGATGTACAGCAGAGACGTTTTGGAGCTAATCCAGCAGCTGAAGAGGAGACGCAGGAAAAAAAAAAAAGGTTACGCAACAATTTCCACACATCATACAACACGTGAGTTGTTACAGAGACATTATTGCAACAGTCCAGTCATGGAATTCATTAAAACAACATTGCAACAAATGTCTCTTCCTGTGCTTATTTACTTGTCATTGTAGTAGTAACTCCGAGCAATGGCGTGTATGGACGCAGGAATAAGAGGAAAACCTAAAAAAAAAAGAGAGGAAATAAATTGAAGCAACCTTCCGCAGCTGTGATTGTTTTAGTTTTCAGAACATCTGCCACCTACCCCAGCCCAGGAGATAATACCACATCAAGTGCTGCTTCTCAGAAAACACAGCCACCACGATGAGCGTGTGCAGGTAGATTCCCTCACACAGCATCCAGAAGTAGTTACAGCCAAACAGGTACAGGTGGATAAACTGGGACACTTTACAGCTCGTCTGGGGAGGGAGATGTACATTAACACATTTCTCAATGCTACCAGACGAATCAACATTTAACCTTCACTTCCAGTTAGAAAGAGAAAGTTCTGAGCTCAGATAAGATGGAAGTCAATGAGAGTTGGGCTCAGCATGCGTCATGTGCTGGTACAACTCCGCCTGCTCGCTCCAGTTGGTAGGATGTAAAGTATGGCAGGCTGGTGCACCACATAATCGATTCACACTCCTATCTATTTTAGATTTCAATAGTAAAATTTCTCCAGGTAATTAAATAAAAAATATTTACAATCAAATTATTATAATGAGTTAATAAAATTTAGGATACTTCCATTTGCACAAGAAAAAAAAATTGAAATAATTTATAAATTATTTTAACTAAAAGCTAAAAAAAGTAAAAAGGGCTGCTAAAAGCTAAAGTAGAAGAAAGCTATCTACAAGAGAAAAGTAGCAAAAGTCTATTAAAAAGACAACAGTGGCACAAAGCTAGCTTCAAGCTAAGTGTAGCAAAAGAATGGTTAAAGCTAATATAAAAAATGCTATCTAAAAGTAGCAAAAAGCAAGCCCAATGCTAAAAGTAGAAAAAAAAATGAGCCAAAGGCTAAAAGCAGCAAAAAACTAGCCAAAGGCTAAAATTAGTAAAAAAGCTTTATAAAAGGCAACAGTGGTGAAAAGCTAGCAAGCTATAAGTAGCAAAAGGCAAGCCAAATGCTAAATGGATAGCAAATGGATGGCTAAAAACTAATATTAAAAAATGCTAGCTAGAAGCTAAAAGCTAAAAATAGCATAAGGCTACATAAACATTAAAAATAAATGAACGATGGGTAAAAAATATAAGTAGCTTAAAAGACAAAAATATAGCAAGTTCACTCGAGCACATGTGGAAAAAGAACGTTTTCGAAGAAATTCAAGAAATCTCGATTTATTTCTATGACAAAAATATTCTGTAAATAAAGTTAAATGTGTTGAAAAATATAAAAGTTACAAAAACATAAGTCATAGCCCCAGCTGCTAAAAGAGCTGAATGTTTTGTTATACGGACGGCTAAAATAGCACAACTACGCAGAAGCATTAAGACAGAAAAACAATGGCGCGAATGCCGACTCCGTATGGACAGAATAATCCAGAAGAATTGAAATAAACTGACTGGATTCCTCTGCACCAGCTCCTGGTTGTTTGCCACTGCAGTCAGCCAGATGATGGTGATCACTGAGTTCAGGACAAATGAGAAGAAGAGGTTTTTGTGTAGGGTGATCCTCTGGCAACTCAAACTTCTGCAAAAAGACAAAAACAATTCTGGTTAAACAAGATGTCAGCTGATGTCCCCCATCGCTGAAGGACTTGAGTGAATGTTTGTCATTTTTGAGATATTTATCTGGACTGCAGTTAAACAGGGAATGCAAGTAAACTTTAATGTTTTTGGTGCAAGATATCCGAGTGAGAAGAAGTTACACTGTGTAGAAGAACAGAGGTAGGTGTTTCTTTTTGCTTGTCCCAGGCAGCACAAAGTGACGGATCCTGGCGAGTGGAGGGAGCAGTTTTATCCACCACCAGTGTTTACCTTACCGTTATATAAGAAGGGCGCGCCGCCCCGTCAACAGAACCAAGTGCCCCATCAACAGAACCAAGTGCCCCGTCAACAGAACCAAGTGCCCCGCCTACCATCCGTCCCACCCCCGTCAACATCTTTCGGTATTGATGTAGCATGGGGCGCAATACAAACATGCTAGTTAAAATGCTACTCCGCCTTGCTCGACACCCCCCCAACCCCCATCGACAATTACCAGCAGCAACGTAGGGCCAAACACAGATGGGACCCCCTCCCCCCCCCCAACAACACACTATCAACACAGACATGACTACAGCAATGCAACGCTAAGCTAGCAGGCGGGCAACACAGATGCCATCACGTCCTCACCCCACCCCCTTATTGACAAAAGATAAATACGACAAAATACGACAAAGTACAACAAAATACGACAAAGTACACAAAATACGACAAACTACAATGAGCATCCCACCAAGGGAACTGATGCAGGAGAAACACTGACCACCATAAAGGTGGAGTCACGGCTGACCAATGGTGGTTTTGGTCACTATAGTTTAATCTTTGGCCACGCTAAATGTTTGAGGAAACTATACATTTAAGCAAAATCTCAATAGCATAGTTTCCTCAAACAATAGTGATGGTGGGTTTACATAAATATATTTGGTGGTGGCCATCTTGGATTTTGACAAGGCAACACAATTTTTGATTGGGACCTTTCTTAAGCCTAGATGCAGCCACACATCAAAAAGGAAGTCGATACCTCACTTATTTTTCGTTATCTCACAGCAAGGATGGACAAAAAGTATTTCCAATTGCCCCTCTCTGCTCTGCGATGGGGGACAAAAAAACGGCTTAAGCTGAAGTGAGGGACTCACTTGAAGTGGAAGAATATACTGAGGGAGATGAAGAGTGAGATGAGGGACAGTCCATGTCCGATAAGAGCTAAGTAGAAAAGATTCATGGCCGTCTGGATAGAAAACAAGAAGCAGATATTAGTGGATCAGATTTGGTCTTTTGGTCTTTGTGAGGATTAATGCTGGTTTCATGAAGCCACCCACCACTCTGCCTTCGTTGGTGTGCGCGTTGCAGAGGGTGTAGTTGGTCCATGTCCGGTTGCTCTCAGGATGCAGAAACCACTGACCACTGATGGTGCAAATCTTTGTGACCATTTCTGAAAGACGAAAATGTACATAAAAACCCAAAAGCTGAGTTTCACAACATAACATTCAGCAAACCTTTAGTTTTTCTGCTATTTCCTTCATGCAGCAAACCCTAAACACAGGTATTAAGATCTAATTCTTTAAAACTAACACATTTTTGGTGCAAATTAATTAAAAGTTTGGTTTAATTTTCTTCCCACAGTGCATTGAACACAATGATCCTTTTCCTCACATGGAAGAAGAGCTCAAAACATTCCTTTGTCAACACATTTAGGAAATTATACCAAAGAGACCATCTTATCACAAACAAAACTGGTTTGTTCCACTTTAGAGTAAGCTGTTGGGGGAAAAATCATTTTTGTTGTGTGTTTCCTTGACTGATGAAGCCTTCCGGATCGAAGGTGAAACGTTTCAACACAAAAAAAGAAACTGTCCAGACGACCTGACTGAAAAATGTTGGATTGTATACCTGGATTATTGAGCATGGACATTGTTATACCAAAGAAATATAATTCTCAATGTGCCAACATGAGTCTAAAAATGTCTTTAAAGCCTTTTTTTTGCTGATTGGGGAAAACGGGGAAAACAAAATGAATGGCTTTACTATAAAGTGCATGTTGCATGAGTGTCTTGTCCTTATTTATACAATTTGGACAGTTTGTGAGCTCATTTAGATATGGCTGCAAGTCACCTGAAGGGTCGAAATCCTGGAAGTAGTCCGGGCAATGCTGCTCCGAGATGACTCCTGCTTTGGTGTCGTCCCAGCACAACCAGCCGTCCCAGGTGCGATTACACATGGCCTCTACAACCAGATGGATGTTTCTTAATGGTCGGTGTGTGAAGCATCATCTAACATCTACAATCTCAGTAAAACTACTTCCTGCTGAGTGAAGTGGCTAAATGCTACAAACTATTGATCATAAATCATCGATGCTACCTTGTCTGCTCTGCGTATTGTCTTGCATTATCTTCTGATAGCACTCAAACTGAGCTGTGACGATCTTGTTTCTGGTGACTCCCGCTTCGTGGTAGACATTGGATGTTTGAGTCTGCTGGCTATCGTTAACCACCATGCTGGCCTTCACCGGAAACTGCAAAGAGACAGAGTGGAAATAAGAGCTGTGGGTCATTAAAGACAAATTAAAACAAAAGACTCAAGAAATAATGTGCAAAATCCCACAATTACCACACAATAATAAAAAGCAAAAGGCACACAAACAAGTTTTAAAAGAAAAGAAAAACATTTCTGGCATTGTATTGATTCAGTCGGGATGCATTTCAATAAAATGGTCATACATGGTGGAAAACCCAACATGCTACATGAAAACTTTCACATTTCACAGAAGAGAACACCAAGAAGCAGCTTTTTTTCCATTCACTGACATATTTCAAACATAAACTGACTTAAACAATATGAATCTAAGCCTTTAATGGATGGTTAACAGCCTGTAAAATATGAATATCATATTGAGTAAAATGTTGATTTCATCCCCACGTATGTGAGTGTGTTTTCAGAGAAGGGTGCAAGCTTTCTTACCATTGTTAGACTGCAGAAAATAACTTGCACCACCATCCAGCGCCATCTAAAGCTGCTCAGATTCCTGTCAGCCATGTTGTTTTCAGCTAATGGTTCACCAGGTTCAGATCTGAAACAAACAGAGAACAAAACAACTGAATACACTCCCACATAAAGACCACTTCACACTTTTTGTTGCTGAAACATCGCTGCCATCTGTGTTGATTCAGCTGGTAACAGACTTCAAAATGATAAATCTGTGATAAATCTCAACAAAGACATGTCTAAAACCCCTGGGCTGCTGTGGCAGAGTAGTTAGAGCAGTCGTCCTCCAATGGAAGAGTTGGGGGATTTGATTCCACCAGAAGTCACATGCCGAAGTGTCCCAGGGCAAGACACTGAACCCCTCATTGCCTCCAATGAGTGTCCTATCAGTGCATGAATGTGATAAAGCACTGATTAATCTTTATTAAGATATAGTAGAGTGCTATATAAATGGGTAAATGAGAGCACAGATTGTAGTGAAAAGCACTTTGCGTATCTTGATAAGATAGAAAGGCGCTTTATAAGTACAGTCCGAAAGTACCGTTTAATAATAAACACAAACAATAAACTAGGCACACAGATGGATTTAAATTTCCTGGGAACAGACAGATGCATTTTGAGACAACAATTCTAACTGACAGTCTACAGACAGCATGTTAATTTAGGTCAGTTAAAAGCTCCTAAAAATACTTTCTCAAAATTAACCACAAGGCCTCATATTTGAAACTCGGGCTTGATTGTGGTTAAAGAACATGCATCCAACCATTCATGTCTGACCACCTATCCAAGGTTGCATTGCGAAGGTAAAAGATCTAGAGAGGAACCCTACAGATTGTCCTGATGCAAGTTCAATAATCCAGGTTGATATATCTAACAAGGATGAATCAGGTCCTCTGGATGGATTCATTTTTGTTCAAACTTTGTTCGTTTCAACAAAGAAGAATCCATCCAGAGGACCTGACTCAACCTTGTTAAACTCCATACATCCATTTTTGTGCTCCACCAGGGGATTGGGGTCAACTTTAAGAACTATCTGGTTTTGTTGCAACCAAAGCAAGAGCTGAGAACGTCTCGGCACAAAGTCAAGCTCATTCCCGGTGCTCGTCTTCAGTCCTGGTGTTTATTAACAGGATCTCGAGGTGGAATCGTGGAAGGGAAGATACCCTATGGGTCTCATCTCTGCTTTTTGCGGATGATGTGCTTCCATTGGTTTCTTCAACCCATGACTTTTTATTTATCGGGCTACAGCAGACTATGACGTTGCAATCAAAGAAAGACTAACAGTGATCTGCAGCTACTCCAAGAAAACACGATAATAGGCGACCGATTTGTATAGTAACATCATCGTGAATTATGGAATAAAAGTTGTTCTCTGGGGAGGTGTTTGTTCAGTCCTGGTTTAAAGGCTTGAAAACCTCTTGATGCGGTATCTCCAACAACCAAAGGAGGATGTTTGTTTCTAATTGCTGCTGCAGACTGGACATGGCTCCTGCCCAGGCTTATGGTCGAGGACTTAGGGAGTGTCAATACATGGTTGGGTGTTGACCTCTGGTTGTTATAACTTATTACCTGAAAAATGAGCTAGAAGGAGCAGCACTTTGGGCAGCAGTTGGGAGAGAGAAGAGTTGTTGCAATGACTGCATTACGATGGCTGAGTTTGCTGATGGCGTAATACCTTTGGCCAGAATCCTTGTCCCCACTGATGATCTGTAAGCCTTTTTCTGGATGATATCCAACTGTCCAAGACTTATCTGTGAAGCATTAATTCTGGCAAAACAGAATTCCTCCATAATAACTCAACTTGGTAGATTTTCAAAAAGAATTAGGGCATTCTGCAGTTGAATGTGATGCAGTTGAGAGTCAGGTCTTCTAAGCTTGAGGCCATAGTTATCAACTGGAAAAAGGTGGACTGCTCCCTCCAGGTCAGGGATGAGTCTGCCTCAAGTGGGGTAGTTCCAGTATTTGGGATTCTTGTTCAGGAGTGAAGATAGGTGGGAGCGATAGATCTGAAGTAATGAGGTGGCTGTGTTGAGGTAAAGAAGGGTCTACTGCTCTGTCTCTGTTCCAGCCCTAACCCATGGCCATAAGGTGACTGAAAGAACAAGATCCTAGATACAAGCAACTGAAATGAGCTTTCTCTGTACGGCCAGGCTCAGTTAGAGATAGGGTGAGGAGCTCAGAGTAGAGTCCATGTAGAAAGGATGAAAGAACCCCACAGTTGGGGAAAAAACCCCTGATAGAATCAAACTCCTGCTAGAACTCATTTAAGCATAGCTCATAATCTTTCTGCTGCGTTTGGTAAATTGATCATCCTTTGTGGTTGATCACACAACCTGAAACATGACCGGAGCTGTAAAATGTGTTTACACCTTTCAGTTTAAAATGGAGAACTACAGAGAGCTAGTTAGAGTAAAGCTGGTGACCACAGGGATTTCAAAGCCACTGCATAACACATGAGTCAGGATTCAAACAGAAATACATCCCTCAGGAGGAACTACTTTCCCTTATAGTGGCTAATAATGGTAGCTGTGGACAGAGCTGAACTGTGGAAACTTTGTGTTTTTATTCATTTTCTAATACAATTCTCATGGGATGCGTCTATTATTTTCACTGTTGCATTATGTGAAAGAAATCAGTTTCTCCTGCAGCACAGGTGCATTCATAAATGGGTAACATGATGAAAAAGTTGTACGCTGATGTCTGCCATCGCTTAGGGACCTGAACAATGAATGTTTGTAGTTTTCGAGATAAGTGTTTTTTTTTTTAACTGAAATTAAACAGGAAATATAAGTAGTTTTTTAGTTTTTTTACCCTTTTATTTATACAGGTAGTCTCATTGAGCCACGAGAACTCCTTTTCAAGAGAGACCTGTTTAGGGAGCAAGGGAGTTAAGGGCCTTGCTCAATGGTCCAAAGCGGGGCGAATGAGGGTGGGGGCAGGTGTGGGTGCTTCACCTACCCCACCCACATTTTTGATGTTGTCTGTACCGGGGCTTGAATTGGCGATCTTCTGATCACAGGCCCACCTTCTCTAACCTCTGCGCCACCACTCCCACAAGTAAACCGTAATGTTTGGTACGAGACATTCAAGTAGAAGTACCGGTAGGATTATTTTCTTTGTCTGAGGCAGCGCAAAGTGATAGATCCTGGTGAGTGGAGGGAGCAATTTTATCCAACACCAACGGTGGAGACAGGGGGTGGCCAATGGTGGCCTTGGCCTACATAGCTTAATCTTTGGCCACCCCAATCATTTGAGGAATTTATATATTTTTAAGCAATATAAAAACTAGAAAGCATTGTTTCCTCAAGTGATTGGGGTGACCAGTTTACATATACAGTATATACATGGTGGTGACCATCTTGAATTTTGATGTGGCAACGCAATTTTCTAAAGGAAACTTTCTTACACACACCAAAATGGAAGTCTGTAACTCACTTATTCTTCATGCTCACAACATTCACGTCTGGACGGAACGTATGAGCAGAATATGACACGCAGAACTGAATTTATTCTCAATCTGAAATTAAATAAATCTTGTTTTGATAAACAAGCAGAACTAGGCCATCCCTTTAAATGTGCAAAATGAGAAATCTAATTAAATTTGAAGGGAAATAACAACTAAACGAACCCTGCAACACGCAGAAAAACAAACAGGAACAACCTAAACGAACAAGTTTTCATTCCAAGCACACGTCTCACCAGCATGTCAAGGATTATACATTTCTGTTGCTCGCATGATCATTAATTTTCTTGCAAAAGCTGATTTTACAAACCAGAATACAAATGAGTTCATATACATTTTATCTGTAGAGGTAGAGGAGCTGCAGTTCATCCTACAGATTAATCAGTTTTGTTTCAGAACAGAGATTACCGAGCTGCAGTAATTGTAGCTGAGTGCATGAAATTAGATGGAACACAAACAACTCATTAGAGCTCACAGGAGGAGTTTTGTGCTCATTTTGTGTTTGAAAAAGACACAGTTTGTGAGAAGAGGGCTTCTAATTAGGTTACACTCTTCACAGGCAATCAAAGAAAGACTAAAATAAAAAATAATATGATTGTAACAAGCCAGTGAAACTCAGGGAAAACCAGATGGGATTTGTTTCTGCAGAAGAAAAATCTCATTCCCCTAATCAAACATGTGCAGGCAGACATATATCCTCCATGACAGAAAGCTCAATAGGATGCCAGATAAATAAATTGCAAACAAATTTAATATATCATCTTTTAAGATGCAAAATGTCAAAAGGTGCAACAGACAAATATCTATAATGTGAGCAAACTGACTAAATGCCATCTTTGGATACAAGCGTTTAGACAGTTCTGCAGGTTTAACGAACAACGTTTGCAAAAATATCAAAGACTTATTATCAATATGAGCAATTTCATTCCACCAAGAAAGATCACGGTGTTGCGTTAAACAGTGATGGAGTTGGAGAGCCATTTTGTCCAATCTAGTGATCACTTACTGAAAATGAGAAATGAGGAAGCGAGCGGGGGACTATTAGCCCAACAATACGTGTCAGCCGGACTTGACCCTGTTTATTTTAACGGGTCGCTGCATGGCTCCATGATCAGTGCATCACCCAAGGGGGCGGGGTTTAGTGAACGAGGGATGGTAAAACATAATCTGCAAATTAGAAACAGCCAGAAAAGGGTCAGCTGCTCCGTCACGCATGGATGCAGATATACAGAAAAATGTTTCACTCACACACGCACCACCCCCCCACCCCCACACACACACATAGATACACACACACAAACCTTCACCCTGCCAAGTTTCCCAGCTGTTTCTTGGTAATGCACATTCCTGGTGAGCTAGTGGTGCTACATAGGATGTATCTTGTCATATGGCAGCGAAGATCAGACCTTAAAGAATATTTACAAAAATTAAATTTCTCCATGTTTTGTATTTATGTCTGTTGTGAGATTTGCCTTATTGTCCTAGTGAGGCTACAGTAGGGAGGTTGCTTAGGAACATGAACTAAAACCGCGCTGGGGATTTGATGAGAGACGCATGTATGCACCTGCTGTTGCGCAACAAAAGTAGTTTATGTTCCAGCAATTCTGTGTCTTCCTGCCTCT